TGGAAAATCTCATGTTTTGAACCTGATCCCCCACCTTCCAGGATCCCCCCCGCGGCTCCGTCGGCGCAGCGACTGCCCCTCCCTTGGGATCCCTCCTGCGGCTCCGTCGCCCCAGCGACTGCCCCTCCCTTGGGATCCCTTCCATAGCTCCATTGCCCCAGCGACTGCCCCTCCCCGGGGATCCCCCCCGCGGCTCCGTCGCCCCAGCGACTGCCCCTCCCTTGGGATCCTCCCACGGCTCCGTCGCCCCAGCGACTGCCCCTCCCTTGGGATCCTCCCACGGCTCCGTCGCCCCAGCGACCGTCCCTCCCTTGGGATCCCTCCCGCAGCTCCGTCGCCCCTCCCAACATGCTCTCTCAGTCTGTGCCCAGAGGGACCATGACACTGGAGGGACCACTGGGCCGGTGGACGGGGGCCCCGCAGTGCTGAGGGGGAGGAGCTGGTCCCCTACCTGAAAGGTGCGGAGCCAGTCCTGCAGCTCCGGGGGCGGGGCGACCGAGGGGATGCGGCGCCGGCGGCCCTGGCCTGGCTTGGCGTTGCGCAGGTCCCCAAAGGTGGTGGTGGGGCTGGGAATGCAGGGGCCCAGTGTCCTGGGACCGGCACCATGGAGAGACCCGACAGGTGAGACACAATAGCACCGGGGAAGTCATCTAGACCCCCACCCCCGTTCTCAAGAGCCAACCCCCAGCCCCTCCACTTGCCAGGCTCCCCCACCCCAAGAACCAACTGCAGCCATCCCACACTCCCCACACATCCCAGCCCTGCCCCGCCCGGTTCCCCTTTGCTCAGCCGAGCAGCCCTGGGGGCCGTGAACCGGTGACTGGGGGTGGGGGGGGTAAGTAATGACCCCTTTTCCTGCCTGCCCCCGGACAGCCCAACGCTCACCTGCTGTACTCGGAGCCCTTGCAGAGCTTCTTGCCAGGGGACAGGGCCCTGCTGTCCAGGCCGTTCTCCGACTTCCGCTTCATCTGCAAGCAGATGGGGGGTGGGGTTAGGGCAGGTGACCCCAGCACAGCCGCCCAGGGGGCTGGGGCGTCCCCGGGGGAGAGGCAGGGCCGGGATGTAGGTTGAAGACAGCCCGAGGGCAGCTCCCAGCGGAGGAGGAGCCTGACTCAGGCAGGCTCCTCGGGGGACCCCCAGCAGCACAGGAGCCTGGGCCCCAAGCCCGGCCCATGCGGCACCGCTCAGGGCTGGAGCTTCCCAGCACACTAGCCCCCAAGGCAATGTGTGTCAGGCCCAGAGCAGCCCCGACACCAGCCGGAGAACTGCTCCTCTCCAGGCCCAGGCTACTCTCCAGGGAGGCTGGGCCCAGGGCCAGGCAGGGCCACGCTGCAGTCCCAGACACTCATCCCTCCAGAGGCAGCTGTATGGGGAGCCGGGGGTACCCAGTCCCGCCCCCCTGCCCCCCTCCGCCCGCACCCAGTCCCGCCCCCCTGCCCCCCTCTGCCCGCACGCAGGACCACCCCGAACAGACTAGGCTGACTAGATAGCAAGTGTAAAAAATCGGGACGGGGGTGGGGGATAACACTGGTCTACAATTTTTGAGAAGTCGTCTGCTTCAGAGATAAAATGTGCTATTTATTATGTATTTTGATGTGCTGAATTCAAATATGACAATTAAAACAACTGATTGGCTACTGTTTCTAAGATATTTAAGTTTTTACATTTTATGTCTATGTATATTGTGTAGATAGTAGAGTTTTAATCATAAATTGTAAACCTAGGTCTTTTCATGTGTTTATGGTTGCTTTACATGATAATATTTCACCTGTCCTGTTTATGTAACACTTCAAAAATCAGCAAAAGGGTTATATAAATAAAATTTATTATGAAACAAAAGGCAAAAAACTATTCTGTACATAGTTTAGTCCTATTCAGTGTCTACTCGGCGCTTCTTGGCTTGTCTCTTGTATTCATTAAATGGAGCATCTCTTGTCACTGTCCAGCAATAGTCTGCAAGCATTGATGGGCTCCATTTGCCCTGATAGCGTTTCTCCATTGTTGCAATGTCCTGGTGAAATCGCTCGCCGTGCTCGTCGCTCACTGCTCCGCAGTTCGGTGGAAAAAAATCTAGATGAGAGTGCAAAAAATGTATCTTTAGTGACATGTTGCAACCAAGGCTTTTGTATGCCTTGAGGAGGTTTTCCACCAACAACCTGTAGTTGTCTGCCTTGTTGTTTCCGAGAAAATTTATTGCCACTAACTGGAAGGCTTTCCATGCCGTCTTTTCCTTGCCACGCAGTGCATGGTCAAATGCATCATCTCGAAGAAGTTCACGAATCTGAGGACCAACAAAGACACCTTCCTTTATCTTAGCTTCACTTAACCTTGGAAATTTTCCACGGAGGTACTTGAAAGCTGCTTGTGTTTTGTCAATGGCCTTGACAAAGTTCTTCATCAGACCCAGCTTGATGTGTAAGGGTGGTAACAAAATCTTCCTTGATTCAACAAGTGGTGGATGCTGAACACTTTTCCTCCCAGGCTCCAATGACTGTCGGAGTGGCCAATCTTTCTTGATGTAGTGGGAATCTCTTGCACGACTATCCCATTCGCAGAGAAAACAGCAGTACTTTGTGTATCCAGTCTGCAGACCAAGCAAGAGAGCAACAACCTTCAAATCGCCACAAAGCTGCCACTGATGTTGGTCATAGTTTATGCACCTCAAAAGTTGTTTCATGTTGTCATAGGTTTCCTTC